CGTGTCGGCTTTCACACCGACACCCGGGCGCCCAGCTCACACCGTTCGCGGTCTTGAGACTCCCGGCGTGTCTGCTTTCGCACAGACACCCGGGCGGCTAGCTCATAACACTCTTCGTCGTGAGACTCCCGGCGTGTCGGCTTTCACACCGACACCCGGGCGCCCAGCTCACACCGTTCGCGGTCTTGAGACTCCCGGCGTGCCTGCTGTTGCAATGACACCCGGGCGGCCAGCTCACAACACTCCCCGTCATGAGACTGCCGTCATGTCGGCTTTCACACCGACACCCGGGCGCCCAGCTCACACCTTTCGCGGTCTTGAGACTCCCGGCGTGCCTGCTGTTGCAGTGACACCCGGGCGGCCAGCTCACAACACTCCCCGTCATGAGACTCCCGGCGTGTCGGCTTTCACACCGACACCCGGGCGCCCAGCTCACACCGTTCGCGGTCTTGAGACTCCCGGCGTGTCTGCTTTCGCACAGACACCCGGGCGGCTAGCTCATAACACTCTTCGTCGTGAGACTCCCGGCGTGTCGGCTTTCACACCGACACCCGGGCGCCCAGCTCACACCGTTCGCGGTCTTGAGACTCCCGGCGTGTCTGCTCTCGCATTGACAACTGACAACCGGGCGGCCAGTTCATAACACTTTCACTCTTCCTCGTGAGACTCCCGGCGTGTCGGCTTTCACACCGACACCCGGGCGCCCAGCTCACACCGTTCGCGGTCTTGAGACTCCCGGCGTGTCTGCTTTCGCACAGACACCCGGGCGGCTAGCTCATAACACTCTTCGTCGTGAGACTCCCGGCGCGTCGGCTTTCACACCGACACCCGGGCGCCCAGCTCACACCGTTCGCGGTCTTGAGACTCCCGGCGTGCCTGCTGTTGCAGTGACACCCGGGCGGCCAGCTCACAACACTCCCCGTCATGAGACTCCCGTCATGTCGGCTTTCACACCGACACCCGGGCGCCCAGCTCACACTGTTCGCGGTCTTGAGACTCCCGGCGTGCCTGCTGTTGCAGTGACACCCGGGCGGCCAGCTCACAACACTCCCCGTCATGAGACTCCCGTCATGTCGGCTTTCACACCGACATCCGGGCGCCCAGCTCACACCGTTCGCGGTCTTGAGACTCCCGGCGTGCCTGCTGTTGCAGTGACACCCGGGCGGCCAGCTAACAACATTCTCGGTCATGAGACTCCCGGCGCGTCTGCCTTTGCACTCATCCCCGGGCGAACAGCTTCCACTGTTCCCGGCCCTACGCTACCCGAAGTAACTGCATTTGAGTTGGACCCTAATGCGATTCCCTTTCAGCCAAAGGCCGGCCCGATCCCCAGCGTCAGAGCCACTTTGAAGTTCTCAACACCAAGGATGGTCGCTCTGGATGGCCGGCCGCTAATGGACTCGCACCAGCCGACGGGGGTAGGAACAACCTCACTAAACGAGGAACCGACAGTGCTCATCCCAGCTGTGAGTAGAATCGAATCTACACCCAGGTCTCTTGAACCTCGTATGACTGTGAATGTACTAGGTATACCAGTAGCCGCTCTTTTAGATACTGGAGCAAACATATCGCTCATTGTGGATGCTGTATTTGCGGAATGCAACAAGAGAAAGATACATCTTCGGTCAGCAAACGTGAAATTGTAAGTAGCATCGGGGTCCGTACTGCCTGCTGCCGGCGCAGTCAGGTTACAAATTTCCTTTCATGGTAGAAAACGAAGACAACGGCTCGTATACCTCCCGGAACTGCCGGTGCCCATGATCCTGGGTAGAGATTTTATTGCAGCGGAGCGGGTCTTGCTCGACTCCGCCCAAGCTGGATATTGGTTGGGTGGCGAAACGAAATTAACGCCGTTTACCAGACGGCAGGATTGTATTCGCGGCCAAGCGTTCCCGTTAAACTTTGCCGGGCAGATGCCTTTACTTCCAGACAGCGTGCTCAAAACAATGGCAAAAGCGGCAGCATTGAACAGGCACGACCAAACTAGTCCCCTGTATCTTTCAGATAACAGGAGCGCTGCCGGGACAACACTGCCGTGATTTGAACTTCAAATCTGCTGACTTCGGAGCTACGAGCCTGCCTACTCCAGACAAGGCTCGGTCGACCGTGACGTCGCCACTGCTAACATCAAGCGCTTCCGTCGACCAAGCTGAAGCTACAAAAGGCACCTCAGCGGAGCCTTTCCTTCACATTGGCAGCAGCGGCAGCATTGAACAGGCACGACCAAACTAGTCCCCTGTATCTTTCAGATAACAGGAGCGCTGCCGGGACAACACTGCCGTGATTTGAACTTCAAATCTGCTGACTTCGGAGCTACGAGCCTGGCTACTCCAGACAAGGCTCGGTCGACCGTGACGTCGCCACTGCTAACATCAAGCGCTTCCGTCGACCAAGCTGAAGCTACAAAAGGCACCTCAGCGGAGCTTTTCCTTCACATTGGCAGCAGCGGCAGCATTGAACAGGCACGACCAAACTAGTCCCCTGTATCTTTCAGGTTGGTGTTCTTTTATTCCCTAGTACCAGGTTTTATGCCGCTGCTGCTGCTGCTGCTGTCAAGGTGTAGCCATGAGTTCCAATGGTCAGTGTAAAACTTGTGAAAAACAATTCGTATCGTCCGATTCGAAAATTGCGTGCAGCGACTGTGATGGTAGCTACCACACGGGAAAATGTTCTGGAATTTCTGACAAAACAATCAAAACGAAGGGCGAAGCGTATCGTTTAGCTTGGCGCTGCCCAGCCTGTCGTCGTTTAAAATCCTGTGCACAAGCTCGGAATCCTACACTGAGTGACGACTTGGAAACGCAAGATGTGCGACAAATGCTAAGGGTGATCAATGAGAAACTTGACCAGCTTTTACCGCTCAGAGAAGTAGTTGAGGGCATTGAAGATTCAATGCAATTTTGGAGCGAGCAGTACGACGAACTGCGGGAACGAACAGAACAAAATGAAAAGGACATCAAAGACCTAAAACGCAGAATGGAAAAACTTGAGGCGCAGGACGTTGAAGTAAATCAGATGCAATGCGAAATCGATAACCTTGAATGGAGAAGCCGGCGCCTTAACCTCGAGTTTCATGGAATACAGGTAACCGAAAAGGAAAATTTGCTGAGCAAACTAAACGTACTTGCCACACAGCTCGAACTGCCACAGCTTTCTGATATGGACGTGGTGTCCATTCACCGTCTGCCTTCAAGGAAAGATAAAACGCCGGGCGTAATCTGCCGCTTTGCAAGACAGGCTGATAGAGATAGATGGTGGGAAAGCAGAAAGAAGTTACGTGATTCGAATGACACTCTGTTTCTACTTGAAAACTTGACAAGACGATCCCGTTCTCTACTTTTCGAAACGAAAGCCTGGGCCAAAAGGAACAGTTATAAATACGCGTGGCACAGCAATGGCCGAGTGCTTGTGCGCAAGTCTGATGGAAGCCGCGCGGTGGTAATCTCTAATATTGCCGACCTAGATAAGCTTCGATAAGAAATGAGCAATCGACTATCTATGGCAAGTACAGCCAGCGAATCATACTTACTTCCGAATTCTTTTGAAAGGCATCTAGGAAAACCGTTCTTGCGGTCGTTTAAATGTTTTCACTTGAATATACGCTCAATTAAAAATAAAGAATCCGATCTTTGTCTATTATTTGATAATTTTGGGCTGCAATTTGATGCAATATTGCTAACCGAGACATGGTCAACTGACGAAACAAATGTACTTCGTCTCCCATCGTATAATACCTTTTATTTAAATCGCCCTAGTAGCCGCGGCGGTGGAGTGTGCATTTTAGTCAAAAAAGAATATAACTGTGAAATATTGTCGGACTTTACTGTAAATACGAGTGAATGTGAACTTTTGTCAATTCAAATTGAGAACACGGTAATTGCCGTTTGTTACCGCCCTCCCAGTGGTACCGTAGCTACATTCTTGGATTGCTTAGAATCAATTTTTGACTTTATTACACAAAATCGTCTCAATTTCATCTGCGGCGGGGATATGAATATTAATATGCTAAAAAGTGATTCAACGATGTCTAAACTATATATTTTACTAATGACGCATAATTTGCGGAATTTCATTATGCTACCCACAAGAGTGACTGAGCACTCTTCGTCTCTAATTGATCTGTTTTTAACAAATATAAGCTCGAACCAAGTAAAAGCAGGGGTGTTTGCCTGTGACCTAAGTGATCATCTACCAATATTTATCTGTACGAAGGGGCATGTAAAAAATAAAATATTGCAGTCGGCATACCCAGTACAAAAAATAACAGAAACAAACCTGACCATCTTTTGTGATAAAATTGCACAAATAGCTTGGGAATTCGTACTGAACAGTAATGACGCAAATGATGCCTATGATGAATTTCTCAGAATTTTAAAACCAATATATGCAGAAAGTTTTCCTTATGTACGTATTAGGAAAAGCAGAAAGATTCGTAAGCCATGGGTTAACTCCGAGCTTCTCGCAAGTATTGATGAAAAAAACAAGCTCTACAGTCAATTTATTAAAACTAAAGACCAAGAAATATCACGTAAGTTTAAAACTTGTCGCAATCGCCTAGATAAAGAACTGAAAAAGGCAAGACGCGATTACTTCGCAAATCAATTCATTTCCGCGGCAGGGCGCTCTGAACGAATGTGGAAAAGATTAAATGCCGTCTTAAAGCATAATGTTTCCCCCGACAAAGTCAATAAGATAATCACAGATGATGGTGAGTTATTTGGAAAAGCACTTGCAGATGCTTTTAACAAATATTTCGTGAATATTGTCAATAAAACCGTAACCAACTGTAATCTCGAGAACATTCCGTCTAAGCCGAATTCTATTTTTCTTAACCCTGTAAATGAACAAGAAGTTATAACTACAATTATAAATTTAAGCAACAGCAAGGCTAAAGACGCTGATGGATTTCAGATAAAACCAATTAAGCACGCTGTTGAACTTCTTGCCCCTTACATAACGCATATATTTAACCTTTGCCTTAGTCAAGCTGTTTTTCCTCGGAGAATGGAAGTTGCCCATATAAATGTGTTGTATAAGAAAGGCGATAAAAATGACATGGGAAACTGCCGTCCCGTGTCGATACTTCCAATTTTTTCAAAAGCGTTAGAAAGAATAATTTTAAACCGTTTTATTGACTTTGAGCAGAAGCATAACCTTTGAAATGAATCTCAATTTGGTTTCCGTAAAGGACTCGGTACAGAGTCCGCACTGCTCGCGCAGAAAGAACTAATCTTGACCGCACTCGAGGAAGGAAAATTGGTTCTTGGTATCTTTGTAGACTTAACTAAAGCATTTGATCATGTAAATCATACATTGCTTGTTCAAAAACTTCAACGTTATGGTTTCAGAGGGAAGGCTGCATCCTTAATCACCTCTTATCTACTTCATCGTTTACAAACAGTCCGTATAGACGATCATTTCTCCGATCCACTTCCTGTTTCTTGCGGTGTACCACAGGGGAGTATTCTGGGTCCTTTTCTTTTTAATATGTATTTAAATGACATCGTCTCTGTTGGGTCAGATGTTAATAGGATTATTTACGCTGATGATACCAGCATATTTATAACCGGAAATGTATATAATGAGATAGTCGATAAAGCAAATTCGACGTTACAAAAACTAGACGAATGGACGTGCCAAAATAGCTTAAAGATAAATATAAACAAAACTAAAGCCGTATTATTTCGTAGTAAAAATAAAAGTGTCATGTTAAATCGACCAATAATGCTAAATTCGACCATTGCAGTTGTTTCTAGTTTTAAAGCACTAGGGGTTGTTTTTTAAGAAACTTTGTCGTGGGATACACATATTGCTTCCATAGTTGCTAAGCTGTCCCAAATAGTCGGACTTGTTTATCGTAATCGGCACATTCTGCCACGAAATATTATGATATTAATTTATAATAGTTTGTTTTCATCTAGGCTTAACTACTGCCACTTAGTCTGGGCATCCACAACTCAAGCAAATCTACATAAAATACATGTCTTACAGAAACGGTTCCTAAGAGTTGTTGAAAATATTCCGTCTTACTTTCACACGCATGAGTTGTTCGTAAAATATAATGTATTGCCGATTCATAAAATGTACGATTATCGGTTCTCTAAAACTTTTAAACAAGAGGTAAAAACTAAAACATCGTTTTTAAAAGGACTAGCTAACTTACAAACCAATACTACCGCCTACACAACACGCCATGGTGAGCCTTGGAATGTTAGCACTTACAGAACAATCTACGGGCAAGATACGTTGAAAAACAAACTGCCAAGGTTACTAAATAGATTAGCTGCCGAAAATGTCGAGCTTTCAGATATTACGTTTAAAGCATTGCGTCGTTATTTCAGCCCTGAGTCGACTTTCCTTATGTAAAAAATGCTGTGTAATATTATTAAACGTGAAACTAGTTGTGCATGTAAGTAATCTTTTTTTTTTCTCTTGATAATGCTTTTCAAGATATCCTACAATTGCGTGGTTGTTACGTAATTTGAGTGTGAACATTGTTGCTTCTCTTTATTCTGTTTATCTTGCTTTTTCTGTTAATGCTGTAGTCTGTATGGTATGTTGATCATTTTCTTTTTAGTGCTGCAAATGCCAATGTGGGGGCCTGTAGCTTTGTCAAGCTGGTCTTGTGACCGCTTTTTCCACAAGCCTCCAGTATCATGTACTCTGTATTTGATGCAAATAAAACCAGCAACAACAACAACAACAAAGCCGTGCAAAAGTGTTCCGGTGAAGACAAACATAAGCAGCTCCAGCAACTGCTGGAACCCTTCTCGCCGATGTTCACGGAAAGACCTGGGAAAACCGATCTCCTACAGCACCGCATCGAAACCAAGGATGCACCTCCCCGGAGGTGCAATCCGAGAGCCATAAGTGCTCACAAGCGCGAACTTCTTGATGCGGCGCTATTGGAAATGATCGACACAGGCGCAGTACGTCAGTCAAAAAGCCTGTGGGCTTCCCCGGTGGTCCTTGCTCCAAAGAAGGACGGCACAGCAAGGCTTTGTGTTGATTACAGGCGCCTAAATGAAGTGTCAGTCAGAGACAGTTACCCGTTTCCTAGTATTTCCTCAGTGATGTATGCCTTTGGAAACGCGACTGTTTTCACAACCCTCGATTGCAGCCGCGGATTTCTTCAAATTGAAGTTCATCCGGCTGATGTAAATAGACCGCATTCATTTGCCATAGGGGGTTGTTCGAATTCACTCGCCTTCCCTTTGGTTTGTCCAACTTTCCCGCCAGCTTTCAACGCCTAATGGACGTTGTCCTCGGTGAAGCGAAGTACGAGTTTGCGATGGCGTACATAGATGACGTAGTGGTCTTTTCACGAACATTCGAGGAGCATCTCGTGCACCTTCAGACCATACTCGAACGAATGCGTCAAGCCGGCCTTACGATTCATCCAGATAAAGTCCAGTTGGCATCGCCTGTAATCAACCTTCTCGGATTTGTTGTGGATAACGGAACGCTGCGGCCGAATGAAGATAAGCTGCGCGCGATAACGGAGTGCCCACACCCCTATGACGTCAAAAGCCTACAGAGATATCTCGGGATGATTGCGTTTTATAGAGATTTTATTCCGCAATGCGCTGAGATAACTGAACCTCTGAACCGATTGCTCCGCAAAAAGACGAAATGGTGCTGGGGGCAAGAGCAGCAAACCGCATTCGCGTGTCTTTCATGGGCTGTGACTGAAAACGCGTGTTTACACCTGCCCGACTTGAATCGTCCGTTCGTCTTGCAGACCGACGCAAGCGATTACGGATTAGGAGCAGTCCTTCTGCAGGAACATGACAGCGTTCTTCGTCCCGTAGCTTTCGCCAGTCATACGTTAACCGGAGCGGAGCGAAACTACTCAACAACGGAAAAAGAGTCCCTGGCAATTATTTTTGCGCTTAAGAAGTTTGACATGTACCTTGACGGCGCTTCGTTTAGCATTCAAACTGACCACATGGCTCTCTCGTGGCTCAAAGGGCTTCAAAACCCTGCAGGACGACTCGCTCGATGGGCCCTTTCGCTCCAGCGCTACAAATACACAATCGAGTACAAGCGTGGCGTGGCTAACCACGTTACAGATGCGTTGTCCCGTGCTCCACTTCTCGGGCAGGAAATGCAGGTGGATCCCGACTTGGTGGCACTGGCCAATGCGGCGCCCATCACACCAGAGTCGCGGTGGGGAACCCTGGTGAGCAGAGAGGAGCTCCGAGCGGCCCAGCTGTCCGATGGACTTTGTCAGAAGGTGATGCACCAGCTGGCAGAAGAACACTCAGCCGACGCTGGGAATCCCAGAGACTTGGACTCATACCTGCTCAGCAGCGACGGCATCCTGCTGCGATACATCCCCCAGGCGGACGATGGGTCCAGCGGCCCGCCATTCCGGGCTGTAATACCACGTAAACTGCGTAAGTCATTTATAAGATATATGCATGATCCCGCCTTGGCAGGCCACATCAGTGGGAGACAGCGAAGGGAGACAGCGAAGGGAGAGTGGATTTCAAGACTAGAGATTACCAAGCAAAGATTAAGTGAATGGTGGCAGAAATCGAGAGAAAACTAGGTATTTTCTTATTCACTGATGGCAAGGGGGTTTCATAGCCTCACTTTCTTTGCACTGCGGAGTGAATATAGATTTCACATTTAAATATTCTAAGCTTAAATGGTAAAACAAAATGGCTAGGTGGCGTAAGCTACCGC